CCCCCCCCCCCCCCCACAAGAGAATGAATGAAGAAGTGACTCAGTGCAGACACGAAAGAGAGGGGTTCCTAGGGGAAAAGGGGTTTGGGACTAGTCGCTTTGAAAATCTGGTCCCTTCCCGGGCCTGGCCACTTGATGGTCGTGGGACGGTGAGACCAAGAGTCAGTCTCTTTCCGGCTCACTCCCAGCCACGTGCGCTTTCTGAGGCAGAAGAACAAAACAGAAGTCTTCCTGGGTGGCAGCCTACCCCCCTCAGGCTTTGGGGGTGCTGCGGAGGCCCTTTTGCTTACGTTGCCCTGGGGTAAGAGGCCCGCGCCAGGAGTATGGTGGCACTTTGTGTGGTTGCAGATACGTCTGTGATTACACCTGCAACCTGTCTTTGCATCATGGGAATGGGCGCACGGCCCTCGTCCGCGTGCCTCCATTATCCTGTTGGCTCCCAGGACGTGCTGGAGGAGATGAGAAGGCCCGAACTCAAAGCCCGGTTTGCAGAAAACTCAACCTCGGTGATTCCAGCCCCGGGGAACCGATGGGGGGACTGCTCCTTTAGAGAAAATTAAATGTTTCAATCCCGTGTGCAGAGTTCAACTGTGCTTTGAGAGACTTTTTAAAAATGGCTTGTAAAACAGTTTACACAGAGGGAAAAAGCTCTAAATTAGCCCAACGAAATCACAAAGGGTTATTTTATTGTCAGAAGAAAGAAGAACACTCTGAAAGGCAGACATTTCACAAGGGATTAACTAGCTTCAGTTATGGTTTTCGTGACAATAAAATGAAATCCTAGTAATTTTTTTTTCCCCTCTTAAAAAGACTGTGCAGCGGGCCTGTGTGATCCTGCCCGGATTGCTAAAACCGCAGACCTGTTTGGCAGAGCTGCGGGTGACGGGGTGATCTGTGACCAGCTGGCCGTGGGGAAACACAGGTGTAGCTGCCGCTGGGTACCCCGTTCCTGGCCGCCCAGCTCATGCCTCCAGGTGCTGGGTGCAGCTTCTGAGCCACTGGGTCTCTAGTGTTTGGTTTTTCTTTTTCTAATGTCTTTAAAAAAAATTGTGTTTTCATGCACAGGATAAAATTTACCCTTTAGCCATGAAATTTTTTTTTCTTTTAATGTTTATTTATTTTTGAGAGAGAGAGAGAGAGCACGAACAGAGGAGGGGCAGAGAGAGGGAGACACAGAATCTGAAGCAGGCTCTAGGCTCTGAACTGTCGGCACAGAGCCCCATGTGGGGCGCAAACTCATGGACTGTGAGATCATGACCTGAGCTGAAGTCGGATGCTTAACCTACTGAGCCACCCAGGTACCCCTTAAATTTTTTTTTAAATGTTTATTTATTTTTGACAGAGAGAGAGAGCATGAGCAGGGGAGGGGCAGAGAGAGAGGGACACACAGAATCAGAAACAGGCTCCAGGCTCCAAGCTGTCAGCACAGAGCCCAACGCAGGGCTCAAACTCACAGACCACGAGATCATGACCTGAGCCGAACCAACTGAGCCACTCAGGCGCCCCTAAATTTTTTCTTTTTAACGTTTATTCACTTTTTGAGAGCCAGAGACAGAGTGTGAGCAGGGCGGGGGCAGAGAGATAGGGAGGCACAGAATCCGAAGGAGGCTCCAAGCTCTGAGCTGTCAGCACAGAGCCTGACGCAGGGCTTGAACTCACCGTGAGATCAAGACCTGAGCCAAAGTCGGATGCTTAACTGACTGAGCCACCCAGGCGCCCCTTTAGTGTCTGGTCTTAAAGGAGAATAGCTAGGTTTGGCTTCTCTGCCACAATGGGTGTTATACTTACTTTTTAGAAGCAGAATCTCCCCTTCTCAGCTATCATGTTGCCTTTGGGCAAACACTTGGCACTGGGTCTTGTGCCAAGCTGCTCAAAGCAAGGTTTTATCTTGTGTTTGCTAGGGGCGGATATCCAACGAGATACATTGTTTTTTTGGAGGAAGGGGTTGAAGGTGGCTAAGGTCTGGGAAATTTCTTGTTCCTTGTTGTGCTCCCTATCACTTTCATTTAATTACCTTAAAAAAAAAAAAGCATTATTCACTTAGTATCTAGATTCCTTCACCATAAGAAAAAGCATTTGCAGCTTAATAACAGAGGAACTGGGCGGGCCTTCTTGTTTGATCATTAGCTCTCTAGCACACTTGTGCCTTTGGAACAGACTTTACAGGACCCCTTTTGCAAATGAAACTCGGTTGTTTGACATAAACCAGTTCAGAGTCACATTGTAGCAGATCAGAGGCAGCTAAGCAGGATGGTACAGCCAGCATGCACAAGCGTGGGTCTGGCCGCACTGGTTGCTAAAGTGGAGAGCCTTCTGTATTTGTAGGCAAACACCTGCTACCCAGAGCCCCCGTGCCCACCCTCCACCCCCTGTAGCTTCTGTCTCAGGCCCTGGCAAGCAGGGGGCCTCGGGACCCAGTCTCAGGGTCATTTCAGACTGCTTGGCACCAGGCAATGCATGTTTTATAAACTTTTAGATGTCAGCCAGTTGGGAGGCCCAGAGCTCCCTCTTGATGACCGTCCCCATCATCTCCCCCTGTGTGACCTCTGATGTTCCTCAGGGAGAATCCCAGAGGGCCCACTCACATCCCCCTGTCGGTACATCCTGGGGCCTGTTTACTTGGGGCTGTTACCTGGCGGTTCTGAGTCCGAGAGCTGACCCAGCTTAAACAGGTTGAACCCTGGGTTGGTCACTTAATAGCTGGGGAGTGGGGGGGGCGGGTCTCCGGCACGTCTGTATGTTTGCTCATCCGAAGAAGAGTAAAGTCCTTCCTTTGCAGAGTCATGAATATCTGGTGAGAGAACGGATGTGTGAGCACCCCCCCCCCCCCCCC